TAAGTAAGAATTGCTTGAAAGCAATAAGAACTTTTCTTCTTAGTTCCGTAACTCAATCCTACTCTAAATCTATTCATCCAAATAATCATGGCTATCTAATCCTTTGATTAAGCAGTTTTCCATTTGGTAGAGTAATTTGAATTCATTTGAACCATTCTTAGTAATAAGAATTACACAAAAAAGTCATTTAGATTATAGATGTAACTTAGTAAACAATTTCATTAGGTAGAATCTCAACTACAAATGTACCTGCGTAGAAATTGGAGAAGACATTTGAATTCAAGAACAAATATTAGCGTTTGTTTGCGTTAAGGTGTATCTGATTGTAGAAATATGCATGCATCCCAATTGATCTGATTGAAATATTAAACTAAGATGTCGGTGGCATTCCAAGAACCTACTGAAGGAAATGGAAATTCATACTCCAAATCCCCTTGTGAACATATTTGAAAGTGAATTCACTCGCCGAACTTTGCGAATTCGAAGCATAAAAAACACTACAAAAGAATGAAGTAAAAGAAGTGTAAACACTTTAATATAAAACGACAAACATAGAACAATATATCAATTGTCATCCATGTGCATCAAACGTAGACGGTCTTCAATATTAGTCATTTCTCCATTGAACGTGTCAGACGATGGAAAGCTACCAATTGCAGAGTTATTAATGTCCATTTGAATTTGACTCGCTGGAATAGGTGTTGATTCAGAGGTAATGTTGTTCGGCGCACTTTCAGAAATCGAAAGGTTATCAAATTGAGCAGATAATAATAGATCTTGCGTATGCATAGTTCTTGATTCATTCGCCACTAAATCAGATACCGTTTCCTCATCATCAGAATTTTTTCCATTTTGATTAAAAGCTCTGAGAGGTAGATGTAAATATCGCGAATGAAAAAGTTCCTCATGAACGATGCGTACAAAGTCCATAGGGTTATCAATTATTGGCTTATATTTGCTGTGTGCTGAAAAAGAACGCGAAGACCTAAAATTGGTTGAACATACATTGCGGCCTTGTCGTCGCAAGGCTCTCTTTGCTTGAAATTTGCACCGTTTACAAACAAATAACTGCTTTTTTAGTTGGTCCAATATCCGTTCAATTACAACTATTGGAAACTCTTGGGTCTCTAAAAGTACATCCGTTAGAGCATCAAAATTTTCTTTCATAAGAATTTCATGTCGTTTCCTTTCCATTGTCGGAGTGATCAAGGAGGGCACAACGCAGGTCAATATTGGGCACGTGTATTCAAATTGTGTAGTCGAATATTTGGTGAGTTAAAACAAAACGATTCATTCAAACTCTAAGCAACTTATATTGCCTTTTATAATTTAATTGAAAGTAAAACAATAATTATTTTACTGATTGAAAATATATTATTTTTCATAATATTAATTATTCACTTTAATTATGAATTAAATAATAATTATTAATATTATTTCCAATCAGTGTCTTTCGTTTTATAAATGTTACATAAACGAATATATATGCTGTTGGAAAGGTTTGCCTTATAAATGCCACTAATCTCGACATCGCTTTCAAATTTCAGGCACAAAGCCATTGAAAGTTAGCATTCATAAAGGTATGTGCAAAGTCTTTCTTTATCTCAGAGATCTCCTTGTCTTGTAATACGTTGGAAACAAGAGACATTGGGCATAAATTAGGAGCGAGGAGTCACAGAGATACGCCCATGAGAAACACAGGATCACCACATCTAAGCCCTGCCATCGTTGCTGGTTGGAAACTGTGCAATAGATTTTACTGCTCATTATACAATTTCGAAATCATAATTGACAGGGTTCAATTCAAGTTGTTGTATTTAAAGCCTTGTTACAATGATTTGCTTCCGACGGTTCTCAACTGGCAGTCCGTCTGTCACTTCTCGACTTTATTTCAGTAAATGCTAGCTTACTTTTGATGCGCATCTATTCATTGAGGATGACGTATTTTACGGATGCCTATTAAGAATCAGAAATTACTTATTCCTATTTTAGACAAGTCGAATGTGGTAGTGTGGCCTGATCTGATTAATAATCAGGTTTCCCGCATGTTTGGTCGATTGGTCACTCTACATTCAGCCGTGTACTTATATTTGACTTGCTAGCATACTTTATGAAGGCATACTTCTAATGTACTCTCACTTACTGCAGGTGGAAGACCGAGAGACCACACAGAAGTTTGAGTTAGAGAAGAACATTGTCAAATCTACCAGAAGCGTATAGGGCCTCAGGGTCAACCATTGTCTTACCAACATGTCTCTTATATTTGAACAACTTTACCAGACGAGTTCTTCCATCTTTAATGATGTGAAGCCATAGTACCAATCGCAGTAGAGACTGGAATTCGCATCCTCACCAGAATAGAAGCGTCACACTAAAAAGAGATGGTCACTAATTTTCAACTTAAATCAGACCCACTTATAATTTATTACCAAAAATTAAATTGTGTACAACAACTATTCACCCATTTCAATCAGACTAATTAGCATCAATTGAAGTTCTTGCGAAAAATGCTATCATTTCCTGCTTCAAAGTCTCAAGCTGAGAAGGAAGTGGTTTGAGGGCATTCTGGGCCCACGATGGTAATAGTTGACGCAGACGTCGATTATTAATGAAACGTTGATCCATTAGAAAGACAACTGCATAGTCTTTTGCATGTCGAATTGAACGTCCGATTGCCTGGTTCACAGAACGCATGCAAAGTGCTTCACAAAAACGTTGGCCACCGCTTCGATTTCCAAAATGTTTCTCAAGATAGTTCAACTTCTCTTTCATCTGCAAAGTAAAATTAGAAAGTAGCAAAATCCAATTTCACAAGTCAGTTTCATATTAGAATGCCTATCTGGTTTGCCTATGCTTCGTCGAATCCCATCGAAACCTCACGTAAAGTAACTTTTGCACAAGAACCTAGAACCTCACCATATCAAATAAAATATAACTCCGAGATCATTAATAATATCATCAAATGGTAAATTCTAGTCATAAAAAGGATCACTATATGTTAGCAAAGAATGTAAGATCCATAGGAATTAAAAAAATCTACACAGAAGTTCGATAAGAGGACTCTAGCTATTTACTGTAAACACATTCAAATCTCTTTTGCATAAATAGGTAGAATATTTGCTCAGAGAGGAAGATAGCACTTACAAAGGCAGAATAAACGTTTGGATATGGAAGACCGATGATGACCACAGCTCGAGCAAGGTCATCAGTGAAGTTGATTCCTTCAGACAATTTCCCCCCAATAACACAGGCAATACAAGCTCCCCGCTTTTTAGAAACCGCCTTCGTGTAGGCCTGCATTATCTCTGCCAGAGCTGTAGCAGTACGTGGTTCCTTGAACACCGGTTTCACTGCATGTAGACGCGCAAATAGGCCAGTGGATTTCCAATGATTCCATACCATCGCGAGATATTCAAAGGAAGGGAAAAATACTGCTACCCCACCTATTGACAAAACAAAATTTATTGAGTCACTAGATGAAATCTAGTGGCGTATACATGTGCAAGAGTACAGTACCTGGAATAAGTTTGCAAATTTCTATCAAGAATTCACCGCATTCTCTAATAAGTCGGGGATCATTTCGATTCTAATTTGAAAAAAATAATTACCTACTTAACAATTACTAGTAGATATTAAATCTGCAATATCGAAGAAACCTTAAATGTGAAATCCCACGTGATATTGTTAGGTGATTCTGAAGTCGTGTAAATCGTCAATTGACTGGTAGTATCAA